TTTTTTCAATAACCGAGCCTCTGGGTCTGCCAGGAACCAAACTGCCGATCGTGCCGCTCGTGCCGCCAGTGTTGCCGTAAACCCTAAACGTCTGGGCCTGTGTCCAGCGGAGCTTCACGGGCTTGATTCGCTGATGGTAGAGGGAGTCCGCCTGCGAAAATCACAGGGCACACATTACAAAAAACACGATCACCTCTTCAAGGCAGTCTCCCTCTCGATCGTTTTTCCTTTCGATGGTTTTTTTCTCCGTCGCTCTCGCTCTGTCTCTCTGTCACGTTTCCGTGCTTTTCGTCCCTATCAAACCTATCAGACTATCATTGCGCTTCACTTTCTCTCTGTTCTTCGGAGGTCTTGGCAGTGTCGTCGCGAGACACGATGTCTGGGCGTGGCGGTGAGGGTCTCTCGGCAGACATAAGTTCACGCATCATGGCAGTCTATCTGGTGCGACCTTGGGACGACCAGCATGCACTCACATTCATGAACGCAACTCGGTACAGAAAAAGATCCAACATAATGGTCTGCTGGAGGTTCAGGGACTATTGTATCGATCACCATAGCATCTCTATGCTAGAGCCAGGTGTTCCAGCTTTGTTTCCAACAAATCCACAAGAAGACCCGGCAAATCGCAAATGTGAAGTTGCAGTTGAACGTGGAGTTTCCTGCATGGTGGTCCGCAGCCAGCCAAACCGTCGAATACAAATCTTAACCCCTAGACCACTCGGCCCACAAGCATGCTGCCGGGGACGATGCTCTTACAAATGTCCGGCGTCAATCCTGTACAGTAGGCTTCATCCTAAATATACAAACCATCGGAAGATGACTGTTCCTCGTCCTCAAAGCCGCGCAGCTTGAACCCTGCCTTGGCAGTGATGAAGAAGTTCACCTGCGGTGCCGACTAGTGACTAGTACTATTACTACTACTCACTATTTCGATCACTTTTCCCTTTCCTATTACATACTATTACTATTACTCTTGCATCAAGTAAAGATAGTATGCATACCGACGAAGCACGAACAAAACAGACACCGAGATGAAGATTCGAGTGGAGAAAACTAGAAGCAGCACGAGGTTAATTAATGGAAATCTGGATAACGTTCACATAAAATGACTGACTGACTGACTGACCGATTGAAAGACTGACCGAATGAGCAAGGTATCCTCGCCTAACCAAGGAACGAATAATACGCAAGCCTAAAAACCTGGACCCGACAACGTTCCATGTAGAGTGTGTTGTAAAGACGGCAGCAAACCAAAGCATGTTGACGACATGCTGAGACACATGGACTGAGCAACTGCCAGAAACTCTGCAACGGCAACATCTTGAGTACGGAGATTGCGGGATTCCAAGGAGTGGGAGGCCGGAATGTCTTGGTTGCTGAGTTCGTAAGCCCCCAAAAGTGTACACTTTCTGTTCTATAAGGGATCATAATACCAAAAAAATACGTGTAAAGTGCACTCAATCAGCTACTCAGGGATTGCTAACCCTTCACAACCCACACCCGGAGTATTCTGACACCAACGCGGCACTCCAAGCCGCAAGCTGCTACAAGCAACGTGAGATGCTTGAAGTGTTTACATGCTCAGGCCTTGACGGTTGGCTCTGATTTAAGGCTAGGCTTGCAGCAGATGCAAACTCGCCGGATCCAGATTGAACAACTAGAGCAAACCATCTCCTTTCAAGGGGACCGTTCTGCTTCTGAACCATACCGCACAGATATATTTGGAAGGATTGGAGTTCGGATACAAAGCTGTAGGAGCAGCCATGCCTTCGCATCCTTGGCAACAAACTTCTGGCCGTGCCCAGGATAGATTCCTAGCCGGCTTCATTCGGGTTTATGCGGCTCTGTCTTCGGAATGCATGTGGAATCATTACGAAAAAAAGACCATGGTCACTCCCTTACATGGCGCTACAGCCCTACAGTTCGAAAACTACTTCTTCCACGTCCAAACTGAACATCAACCATGGCCTCTGTCTGAAGTGGTTCATTATCCCAGACCGTAAACCGTTGAGTGTGTGGCATCTTGGGGTTCCCACATTCAGTGACCTGTGGTCATTCTGGATCTTTACCAACATCCTTATCACAGGTACAGCAGCGGCAGTATGTAGTAGCGCAGTCTAAACATGGCTTCCAATGTTGAGATAGCCATCAAGGTCACCACCACCAAAATCACCGCCGTCACATGTTGTCTCTTCCTCCTCCCCCTCCCCGGTGACATGATGGCTTCACTCTGGGGAATGCAAGAATGGTGGTGATAGTAGTGACAGAATGAGGATGAGGATCGGTACGCCACCGATGAGGACGACGACGTCGTGCCGGCGATCACGATGAACAGGACGGTGTGCGGGACGGTGGCAACGACTTATGCCTGCGGATTGGGGGTCCAGGATTTGTCACCTTGCTGCGCCGCTCAAAGGCCCCAAGCAATATAGGGTCCTGAAACCAGAATAGTTTGCCAGGTTGATTCTACGAGTACCACAATAATTATAAAACGGAACGCCGACATGTTTTGGCTTATTTCGGCCCTGGCTTTATTCAGGCAGCCTGGTTTTTGTTGCCAAGGCACTGTACTCAGTGTAGTTGCACAGGTCCTGAGCAGGACAGCTTGCAACAAACCTTCGAGGGCGTAGACATGTTGAAGATATGGCTTAAATGCTACGAAGCCCATCAAACGTAACTAAGTATCGAAATCAAAATCACGGTGCTTAACACCAGAAGCATCCGCCCTCAAATCAATTGGAACTTCTGTACGAGTGCTGGGACCCTTTTGTTCAACAATGCCTTCCTAAGCCCTAAACCCTTAAACCCTAAACCTAAAGCATATAAACCCTAAGCTAATCGAACCCTAAGCCCCAGCCAACGCCCCGGAGATCCCACATAAGTGTCCAAGTAAGCGTTAAAAGTTTAGGGTTTAGGGTTGACTTATAGCAATCGTTCCGAAGATTCTAGTTCTTTCTTGCGCTGCTCGTGAGTGCATCCCCCAGGTCTCCTAAGGTGACTGAGGAAAGCTCTGCCCTCGAGATGTAGAGCTAAGAAAGGATCCTGGACGAAAGGGAGCGGGAGTCCCGAACTCCAACGGCATCAGCTGAATGATTGATCAGGGTTTAGGGCCAGTTTCGGTCTGTACAGTCATGGATCAGGCTTGGTTTCAGGGCACAGGGTTGGGGCTACTACGGCACAAAAACCGCATGCCACCCCCGCCCCTCCGATTCCAACCACTTGTGCCTCAATTTGAGACCTGGGTGCCCTGTTTGTCCCACAAAAAACCTGCTAAAAAGCTACCCAATGTAGGAACCTGGTTAAGAAACCTATTTGGGTTCTTTATATGAATCCTATTATTCTGGTGTTATAGGGCCCGGTTTTCTTCATCAGGTTCCTACATTACCTAGCTCCTGCCAGAAACTTTGTGGCGCCTGGCCCGCCGGGACCCTCTGGGTTTCAAGCCCCGGTTCAGGCAATGAAAGGATCCAATGTATGTATGTATGTATATACATATATATATATATATATATGCATACATATATATATATATATAGATATAGATATAGATATAGATATAGATATAGATATATAAATATAGATAGATATACAGTCAGACGGTTATAACCAGACGGAGCCGTTCCCGGAAAGTTTAAGAGCCCGAACGGTGACCACCCCCAACAAGTTCGTCACTAGCAGCAAAGGGACTGTCTTGATCACCATTTGCGCAGCGGCAGGAAGCCACGAGGGAAAAAGTGAGCCGCTTGAGCACTGAAGCGCGGTATGCATCCACAACACCCTGCGCCAAACCGAACATCTAAACTAGACCCTAAACCCTAACAGCGACAATGGCCAGTAGTCTGACACGGAAGCCTGGTCCGGCCAATCTGGGGCCGGACCGTGATTAGATCAACTCAGCTGCCCAGACTGCCTCTCGAGCTTACCGTAAGCATCTTACTCCCTACTTGGAGGTTCATGGGTAGTTATAAGTGGGGTTATAAGTAGGGTAACTGTTATTATAACCCATATTAGGGGACTTATATCTCCACTTATAACTACCCATGAACCTCCAAGTAGGCTTCCTGAATTTCCCACATGTGTAGTTCTCTAAATTAGGGTCCCTTTTTAGGTCCCCAATATAATACGGCACCCTTATAAAAAGGACCCCCAAAAAGGACCCTAATTTAGAGAACTACCCACATAGGATCTCCTGCTGATTGGACCCTCGACTCTCCAGGTGGGGCAGTTCTCCTCTTATGAGTCGTTAGGAGTTGAGGCTTTCACTTTGCAACTTGAAGTGTCGAGGGTTCCAAGGGGATTCTTCCGTAGGGCCGTCGGATCGAAGCAAAAATATAACCGAGTTTCAACAACAAAAGAAAAGAACCTACAGACAGAAGCTAAAACGCAGGCTCTTTCGTCTAAGACCTTCTTAAACAACCTACCAGTTATCCTATACTCCTCTTCTTGCCCCTACCCTATTTAGCCCGAATAATAAGGATCCGCAGGTCGATTGATAAGCCTCATAAAATCCTGCAGAGTAGCCTTGTCATAACTAAGCCCTTCCCATATGCTACAGAACCTTACATCTAGAAACCCATACTTACATGGGTAGTTCTCTAAACTAGCGTCCCTTTTGGGGGACCTGTTTATAAGGGTGCCGTACTATACCGGGGGACCTAAAAAGGGACCCCCCTAATTTAGAGAACTTCCCACATATTTCAAGCTGAAGATCCCCCATTCGAAAGGGCTACTAAATGTCTGAAACCCGACCATCCCCTAAACGCTAAACCCCGAAAGCCTAAAACCAAAGCCCCCGAAGCCATAAAGCCCTAATAAGCCCTTATAACTTATAGACCCTACCTGGGCCCTTAAATGTGGTACACTTTTTGGGTTACCTTGGTTTCTCGCTTCAGGATCCTACAAGGAACGAATAAAATAAGTAAAACCCCAAACCCAAAGCCCCTGAACGTTTAAACCCCATCGACCCAAATAACCACTAAAACCCGATATCCCCTAAACCCATAAAAACCCCAAAATACCCCGTAAACCCCAGAACCCCAAACTCTAAAACCCCACAATATTCCCCTTAAAACCCCCCTAAATGGTAAACCTTAAAACCCTCCACAATATCCCGTAGAAAAAAACCCCGAAACCCTAAACCCTA